CTCCGTGTCTCCTACGGACGTGCCTACCATGCAATGATTCGGGAACGCTACGCTTATACGTCGCTTAGTGTTGTTGCGATTCTCAGCTGTGGTTGTGAAGCTGTGACCGTGGCCTACGCCTAAAGTGCTATGACCATGGCCTGCATCTACAGTACTGTGACTGCGACTTGTTGCCACTGCGTCATCTGCCGCTGTTGCATCTCGAGGGGTGCTCACAGACTCTGAGTGAGCTAAGGCGGCGGCGGCGGCAGACCTAAATATAGGAACTGGCGGTGAGGGAATTTGGAAGCTTCTTATGAGACGGGGTTGTTTCACCTGAACCAAACCTTCTGTTATGTTTATGCATAACAGCCCTGAGTCATGTGTCCGACACAGCTTGATCCTAATGATGCTATCCTCAGAAGGAAGTCGAACACCACACTCGCCAAACCGAAGATCCTTGGTTATACCAAGTTGGGCCTGGGCGTAAAGGGACAAAAGGAGAGGGGCTGTACCCTTAATCTCGTGAGAATCAAGGACGCCCGGAACTCTCAAGTCCTGCTCCAATCCCATTATAGAGAAAGGTATGGTCCTGCTACCCAGTGTTTCGGTAGCACCGCTAAGACCCTTGAAGGTACGATTGCCCTCAGGTTTAAACCTCGTGCTGTAACCGAAGTTCGCAAGTTTCCCCGCCGCGTTTGCTATCCAATCGCTACCGTGAACAGTCGAGTTACAGCCCTCATCCAACACGGCGTATACGTGCTTATCCTCGTAGATATTTACTACGGGCAAATCAACCAAAGCCGGATGGATATCTGTGACCCCCTCAGTGAAAGCCACGAAGGCGTGCCTCGTCGCGGAGGCCCTCGAAGAGCGCGATCTCGCCGACGCCACTTCCCAACTGTTGTTGGTCGATGACGCGGAATGATCATCTAAGGCCTCTTGCAGGTATGCGAGAAGGTCACCGCGAGATATCACGGGCTCGGTTACGAAATGACCCTCTATGGTCTCTTGAAACTGGGCAATAGCCGGAACTACTACCTCTACGGGGAGGCTATCCCCCGTGCTGCCGACTATGCTGCGCAAAAGGTCGAAGTCCAGGGTATTGGACTCCCGCAGCACTGTGGCTGCGTCATCCCTAGCCTTTCGCTCGGTCTGCGGCTGCTCATCTAGAAGCATCCCACAAAGCTTGCACTTAATGCGGGAAGTCTTCCTACTGCTACCCGACCTCTCGGTGGAGGTGTGGGGGCATGTGGCCTGGTCTATGACAGGCTTCTCTTTCTTCGTCTTGGTGACGGTGCCGCATTTCTTACAGGTCCGCATGTCTATGTATGCGTTACTCCCCGACTTGTTGAACTCCTTGCAACCTCCCCGGCATTTCCGGGGGCCTTCGCTGGACGAAGCAGCTGACGCGGCGAGGCGAACCTCGGGCTGAAAGGGTTCAGGCGGGGGCTCCTGGCTGAGAGGAACATCCCTTCTCGTGATGCTAATGGGGTTGTCATCACGCACATCAAAGTACTCCGTGACCCAATCCAAGAAATCGGCCAAATTTATGGATGGGCACTTCTGCGTGCGTCCCCAAAGAACATATCCAGGAAACGTATACAAGACACGCTCATAAGTCAGACCCTTATGCTGACCAAAGGAGAAAACGCGATCGGAACCCTCAGGCGGGCTGTCACGCATGATCCTAGCGGCGGCTGTGCGCCGAAGCTGCGGTGAGAAGAGGGGTTCATTGCCGCGGCCTTTGCCGGTATTGGTCCTTGAGGGAGTCAGCTCAAGGTTGGCTGGGTAACCCTCGAGCCTACCAGCGCTCGCATTCGACAGGTGGACACACTCTGTGTCGTCATCCTCCTCCACTGCGGCGAAATACGCCTGGGGCTTCGGCGCCGCCGGCTTTGCGGCTGCGTTGGCAGTTCCTCCAGACTGTGCTGGGGTTGTGGTGCCCTTGGGGCCATTGCCCTTACCGCTAAACTTGCAGGCAGCATCTCCGGCCCAATGGCCGATCACACCGCACTTCAGGCACCTACTCTTTGCCTTAAGCTCTGCCAACTTGGCCTTACGATCAGCAATAGTCAAATTGCTACGCACGACCTTCCCACCGGATTTTCCGGAGGACTTGCCCTTGTTCTTCCCTTTTCCCTTTCCTTTTGCCTGGGCAAAGGCGGTCTGTGCCGCGTACGCAAGCTGAACCGACTCGGCATAGGAATCATCCAAATCGTCAATTTCAGCTTCATATGCCACTGCCGTATAGGCGTTGAGTTGCAATGCTAGGTCTTCATCATCAATCCATTCATCCGCATCATCTCCCCCAGACGCTGTGGCCTGGTATGCTTCTTCGCCGTAGCCGTCACCGTAGCCTTCCGCGGATTCCTGCTGTTCCTGGTGACCATACTCTGCGGCACTACCATCATACCCCATGTAACCAAACTTAGGGTATTGTGGCTTAGCGTCGAAACGTCTCCAGGTCTTACCTGGGCCACTAGGGTCCTTCTGGGTAAGAAGACGTTCCTTCATGTGCACCACTGAGTGATGCTGAACAAGGACGCGTGCGTACTCATCCACGGTGTGTACGCGGGCGGCGGTCTTGACCATTAGCTGTTCGTTCCTTTCCAACCCTGAAAGCTCAACAAGGAGATTAGCCCTCATTGCTTCAGAAAGGCGGATATCAGGATCCAGCTCACGCAAGGTCGACCACCACCGCTTTCGGCGGGCTATGTAAGACAACATAGGCTCGCCGGGTTGCTTTGCGAGTGGGCCCGTCAGGAGCTGTCCCTGACGGAAAAGTTCGGACGCCTCTTCAGATTGAAGAGGGAAAGCTTGCCTCCTGATTTCTTCTATCAGGTAGTCGACGCCATCATGGCGTAGCAGACGTTCCAGGCCGACGTCGCGAGCGATGCAAAAGGCGTCTCCTCGGAGACCCTCCAAAATCTTGCTAACGCATTCGCTCATATCAAGCGACTCGTCCTTAATGTCTTGCAAGGTGTACACCGCCGGATCTGTGTCCGGCTCCTGCTCATCGTCGCCCGCCACTTGACTGGGGTGCGACGGCAACGACTCCGCATCCTCATCTTCTGCCTCGGACGCGGGCTTAGTCCGTTTTGCGCTGGACGGACTGGCGGGTATACCGCTGCTTCCATCACCATCTGTGGGCGATGCGCTGGTCCCCTGACTTGCCCTGCCACGCCACTTCCTTGGTGACTCGCTCTTGGCCCTTGCCGACTCGGCAAATCGCAGGTCCTTAAGAGCTTCTCGCCGCTGCTTCTCCTTATGTTGCAGCACACGGATCTGTGTCCGGAAGCACCAATCGTGGAAGCCAGCAGCCGTACCGTCGTATATGTACGAACCGCTTTTCGTTTCTGCAGGGCTCAGGTTCTGTGACCAGAGATTGGGCTGGTAACGCAAACCTGCCACGCTCATGGCTTCAGATAGAAGGGGCCTTTGCGCCGCGACTATCACTACTCTACCCAACGGACCCCGGACCACAGGCTCTACGGGGGTGAAACACTAGTGGTTGTCCTCACAGCTCCGCTACCAGTTTGAAGCAGGAACTGGATTAGTGAGTGTCCAACCACACAACGAGCGCACTTTTTGGTCTGAGCCCAAGACGTCTGTCGTACAGGGTGCATTCAGAACTGTCTCAAAAACTATCCACGCATGAGGACATGTCAACACGGCGCTTCAAGACAGGGAAATTTCACAAGGGTTTTACGGTTTAGGGTTTTAGGGTCTCGGGCTTAAGATGTTTGGGTTTAGGGTTTTAGGGCTTTAAGTTTCTAGGGTTAGGGGTTTAAGATAGAAACTGCATAGACATTGAACTTGCATTGAACAATGGCTGGCCGCGCTTACATACATTTGCATTCTCAAGCAAAAAAAGTGTGAAGAACACAGTTACAGGCGAGGCACGATACTACCTATAGTTCCTTTTTGGGGTTTAACCAATTATATATTAAGGATCGTATGAGGTAACCCAGAAAAGGGAACTACAATGGAGACTGTAGGCAAACTGTCTTGCGTTTGCCTTGCAAACCCGCACATGCGTTGTCGGACGAACCTTGAAGCCTTGGTGATGCTCAAAAGCATGCTACTTCTAGGATACCCAGTAACCTAAGAATGAAAAGGCCTCTCTTTTTGGTATTGGGTAACTTTATAAGGAACCTAGGACTACAAAAAGGGAATAAGGGTACTACTGGGCATCCTAGACTTGCTTTTTCTTGGCAAGCCTGCCATGGATGAAACGGCCTAGGCTTGATGCCCTAGGTACACTCATCAGATTTCCTAATAAGGACCCTACTTCAGATTATGTCATTTCCCCGCCCCTCTAGTACACCCTAAACCTCGAAACCCACAAGTTACAAACCTTAATCCCAAGGGTCCAAGTACCCAATAATCATATACTCTCCAAAAACCTAACCTACATAACTACTATCCAAAAACCGAGTACTTCATTATGGGGTCCTTTGGACCCTTGGGGTAACGTGGGCCCTGACAGCTCCAGGGATGCAACATGCAACGAGACGAAGATCTTCACAGGATGCTTCGAAGCGCTTTTTCCGGGTCTAAGTTCGGAGGGGTTTAGGTTAAGGTTTTGGATTTCGTGCGTTAGGGTTTAGTGTTTATGCTGTAGGGTTTAAGCGGGTGTGGATCGAAGTCCCCCAATACCCCTCAATCCTACATCTTCAAACCTAGCTTAGGCCTAAGTCTACGGCGTGGTCCCTAAACCCTAAACCTCGACCCTAAACCCCAAATCCTAAACCCTGAACTCCTTAACCCTAAACCTTAACCCCTGAGCCTAGGAGGTGAGGTGTAATACAGGGGCCTTAATATTTAGAATGGGGTTTGAGGATATATTCCACGGCCATAATAAGGCACCCCCCTAAAATAGTATAGGTGTAATTGTTCAGGCCCGTACACTAAACTCTCATGGCAGCCCTTATAGTTATCCCCCTACATTAAGAGCCCTTTAAAGGAACCCGACATTGTTAAGGCCCCTATAGTAGCGTCCGGGAGATAGGTCGAGCCTTGTGTGAAGACGAAGTGCTGCCGTGAACCGGAGGCCTGCAAAGAAGGGATTCGTCGTTCGGATGCTCTGCTTAACGTGGTTGATGGAAAGTTAGTATATATGTGTATATATATATATATACATACAGCGTCTAGTTTTGTAAATGTATGTGTGTGTATATGTAAGTTGCAAAAAGAATCCATATAAACATATATACACATACATAGATAAATACATAAATATGTATATATGTATATATATATATATATATTATATATATATATATATATATATGTACACATAGAATATACACACATACTTATGGCCATACACACCTACATACTGGGCAGTTCCCCGCGGCACTTTTGAACAGTCTCCTTGGGCTTCTTTCAGGGTATATCTTACTACACTTGCACCATACCTTGACAGCCGCCCCGGATAAGGGTAGTAACATGGGCAGAGCTTGGGTAAAGTTGGTCGGGGAAAGATCCCAGAACCTTAAGCCCAGAACCCGGAACACAAACACCACAAGCGGCCTAGAAGCATCCGCGGACGGATTTGCCGACCTGGGCCGCCGAAGGACTCTGAGAGGTTGAGGATCATCTTACCTAGGTTCCTCTTAGTTGCTGAGTTCATAAGCCCCAAAAAGTGTACACTTTTAGTTTTATAGTAGGTAATTAATATTATCCCAAACAGTGTAAAGTGTATCCACTCAGCTACTAAGTCCTGAGTAGCCCCTTTGTAATGAGGGTGCCCTTTTTCCTACTGCTTGGTTTCAATAACTAAGGGAAACCAAAAAGTGTACCACCGGTGACTGACAATAATCATGCACATGTAAAACACTAGAAATCGTGTATGAGGTTTACCACTGCGTTACTACTGAGACCATTGTCTGTGTCGGCAGCAATATGGCTGCTGTGATGAGGACGATCACGATGAAGAAGCTTTAATTTGGAGCCACCCAAAGATAGTTGTTGTATATGTTTAAGTTCCTGGTTCGCTGTCTCTGCTATGTTGCGACGACGACTGGCCAGTGCTCAAGACATTGACACTCTCTCAGATGAAGGCTCGAAGGTCAGGCCCAAACTCTATGATTTGTCGGCTGCACTCTGACACTGAAGCGCTAGTGAGTGTAGCTTGGGTTTATGGTTTGTTGGCTCAGCGCTCTGACACTTATATAGGCGATAGGTGTAGCTTTGGCCGAATTTCAAACCACAAGCTTCAGAATCACATGAAATCGAAACCGCCTCAGGTGCTCAGGACTAAGGTTTGAGTGAACGGCAAAAGATCACACTCTGCAAGGATTCGGGGTTTAACATTTAGGGCTTGGGGTTTAGGGTTTAACGCTTGAGGGTTTAAGTTTTAGTGTCAAGGGTTTCAGGATTCAGGGTTTCTGGTTTGCTGGTTGCTGTGACTTGCAAGAGGGACCTGCCAAGGATCATGGGACTTAGTAATTGGGGTTAGAAGTAAGGTAACTACAGTTTTAATTACTTATAACGCCAATGAAGGTACTTATAACCCTACTGACAAAGTCCCATGATCCTCCAAGTAGGGTTTGGGGTTTAGGGTTTGGGGGCACAGCCTTGGCAAAGAATATCCAAGGGTCTGAATACGTAATTGGTAATAGTATCCGATTAGACTCCCGGTGTTTTCCTGGTTTAGTATACTGTACCACAAAACCTACTGAGGCTCGATTACTAGCGCCAACGCCAAATAATCTTAAACGCCACGATTGCCTGTTGCTCTGCAGGCGGAGGTCGAAGCGAGCCACCGTGATGTCCCGATCGAGTTTAGGGCTTGAGGCTTAGGGTTCGGGGGTTTAGGTCCGTTTAGGTGAGTGATGGTACGGAAACTGGACAAGGGGCCTGCTCGCCCGAATGTGGGGCCGCTATGAATTCATAGGTTGTTGTACGCTACATAGAGACTCTACGGGAAAGTTGCTGTGATAATCTTCAGACCTGGAAACAAAGTGTAATTAATCCTGAAACCCTGAAGGAAGTTCAAACAGTTCAGGTTTGGGGATATTGTAGAGCTTTGGCATTGTGGGGCTATGGGCTACGGGCTTTGGGATTAGGGTTGTTGAGCAGGCAACCTCTTCCAGTTGCCGCTGCATCTGAGTCTTCCGGGTGAATCAAGCCCTCATCTGGAGCCTCTTCTCACATTCCACTGTCTTATCAGGGAGTTCAAACCTTCAACTGCTCTTAACCGCAATCGTGTCAAATGTGGATTCCGACAGTATGAAGCTTAAGGTTTAAGATTGTTTTAAGGTTTAGGGTGGTATGAAGTCCTCATTATAATTACAGTATAATGGGCCCCCAAACCCTATTCTAATTATTAAGGCCTCGATATTACCAGCATTTCCGGCAGCGGGCAGGGCATGAAACGATTTGTCTCCCAATTCGGCAGAACATACTGTAAGCCTGACCAGAAAGTCGAAACCGCAGAATTATACCCCCCCCTTAGAACCAGAATATAAGTATAATGTTTAATATTCTCTTGGGTTTTATATGAACAAAAATAAAAGCAGTATTTCTGAGGAGGCTATAGAGAAGATGAACCAAACAGCTACATGTCGTTTCGGCACGCGGACATATCATTGGCGAGTGTTGGGATGAACGGGCAAAGGCAAGGGTCAGAGCCAAGCCCATTGAGTTTGAATTGGGGCACAGTTACAGAAAGGGTCTAGCCTTCTGCCTGCCACTAATTGCACCGCCACTCCTGGCACCGCGGTGTTGGGCTGGCCTGAAATTGCTTTCGGAACACGCAAAATCCCAGGAACCCTATAAACCTTAACATTCGGTCAAGCCCTTCGGGTTCAGCTTTCACCGGCCATAGGTTGGAGGAACTATTCCAAACGCTAGCGAATCTGGCTTTGTGCGAAATCCCCACGATGCCAAAACGCTAGCGAATCTCAAGTAAGCCCTGGACAGTCAAGTTTTCCAACCGTTGATGAGAGATAGCCACCCGGGGACGTGGAAACTGCCAAATTGGTGAAACCAATTCGTCTCAACGGCAAAGAGCAGCACTCTATGACGCGTGGTCCTATTAAATGCCACATGCTAGTCCGGTTTCCTGAACTTTCGCCTTATCTAGGGTGCGAAAATCCGACCCCCTAATCCGTTTAATTCAATCTTAGTGAGCCCGAAACTGTTCGGAGCCGTACTTATTAATACTATTATTGTTACTAATTACTATCCTTTTTTTAGAGTTCCTAAACTCTCAACCAAATAAACTCTAAACTCTAAACCTAGCCTGTATATATTTAGAGTTCCTAAGCTCTCAACCCTAAACCTAACCTTTTTAGACTCTCAACCCTGTTGTTCGGGTGCAGGAGCAGATCAGGCTTGTTAGTCAGTAAGGCAGTTTATGGTCAGGACCCTGTAGTAACAAAAAAACAGCATCGAAACAAGAAGGAACTGCATTGCAGACTACACAAAGGTCGATGGCTCGGACCGACGGAGCAACTGTTTGAACATGCTTTGTCCAGCCTCATCAAACCCACAAAATCTTTGTCAAACCCTAAAAACTGTAAACCTTACACTCTCAAGCCTCGTAACGTGCTAAACCTTATCAAACCCTGAAACTATGAGTCCAAGGAGTCCCTAAACCCTGTAACCTAAACCCTCAACCCTAGGCCCTATAGATCTCTTATAGATCCCTTTAAAGGAACCCCTATAGATCTCTTATAGATCCCTTTAAAGGAACCCCTATAGATCCCTCTAAGGAGATGTTGAACCCCCTATGCTGCTCCGTGCTATCTCTTCTTTTCGTCCATCTTCTTCTCACAGCACTCATGCGTAGAGCAGTGCTTGCTATCCTTGCACCTCAGCTTCGGCAAAGTGGGGCTTTCTGGATTGCCGGCCCTGAAGGTCTGGGGTTGGTTAAACTCGCCCCTGCGCAGGTACTTAAAGGGTCATGGGACTTAGTAACTGGGGTTATAAGTAATGTAACTACAGTTATACTTGCTTATAACCCCAATTCAGGTACTTATAACCCTACTTACTAAGTCTCATGATCCTCCAAGTACTGTTGTGAAAGGGGGCTTGCGTTCACTTTGCTTCGCGTCTTGTGGGTGTCGGCAATGCCAAACACAAACCGCGCATCAACGGTTTCGGGATTAGGGTTTAGTAGCTGAGTGGTCCGGAAGTTGTCCATCCAAAGCCCCAAAACGGCCCCAGACTTTCACACCCAGTACGGCTTGTTCCTATTCTGCGGCAAGGCGGCTGGGTAGAGGTAGAAGTGGAGTTCCTGAGCGAGGCGGGGCGTTGTGCTAAAGTCGGTGTAAAGACTCGAAGAACAGTCCTTCTTGCTGGCGGGAATACCAGCACGGGTGCCAGTAGCCCCTAACCTCCGTAACTGCAACTCTCACAAGCGACTAGTGACAACAGAGCCCGACCATGTCTATTTGCAAGAACGCCGTATCTTGCGCCGAAACACGGTTGTGGCTCTTGCTGCTGCTGCTGCTGCTGCTGCCGCTGCTTGTAAACACGACACCGAGTCCCGCACATTCTGCTCCTGGTCGCTCTCTGCTTGTCTCCTACTGCTTCTTCTTGCTGCTACCTAAGACGATCACAGCGACGACGGCAACGACGATGTCGTGAACTACGGCATTGCAACAATAGGTGCAGTATATGCCGTTGTTCCCACAGTTTTCACTACGAACCTCACATCGTGCTTGCATGTAAGATTGTTATATATTTACTTAAGGCATGCATAGAGTGAATGATACACGTACATGTAGCACATATAAATACGAAAGCGTAAGCGTAACCAATCTTGGTGCTTAGGTTCAGCTTGCTTGTTGCCCGTCAAGGTTTCAACTGCAAACTATTGCTTATCTTAAAACCCTACTTATACAGCTTCCAATGCTATGGACGATTTCAACAAGTCTCAGTGATTACGACGCTAAATCAAGTTCGGAATTCCCAAAGACCAAGCAGAATGCCTGTTGCGAGAAAGGCACGTGCAAACGCCCTTGGCGCCACCCTGCCGCTTCTTGTTCTCGTCCTGACCGGCTTACTCCAAGACATGAGTCTATCTAGGCACCAAGGTTTGGGCAACCCTCCAACTCAACTCTGACTCCGAATCCAACAGCAAGGAATTCTCCCAAGCCACCTTCTTGAAGCCCCCCCCTTTGCCCTACACCCTCATCCCGCCACCCCATGAACCCCAAGCTCTGCACCATTGAAAAGACAGTAGCTCGGATTTTTAATCACCCTGACAGAAACCTTGTAGTAATCCTTCTGGAACTTTTCAAGAAGACACCGGTTCTTTCTGGAACATCCTTTGCCAAGGTCCCGGCCCAGAAGCAAGACCGCCGCGGAGCGGTGTTCGAAATTGGGACTCAGCAGGTGATGACCACGTCTCTTTTATTTAGGGTTTAGGGTGCAGGGATCTATGTTGGGCCCGGTCTCGATAGAATGTTTGCACTGTTGCTCGATTGACCACCCTTTGTATCCGTCTGTGTTAGGTATGCTGTGGCTTTCTGTGTGCATTCTTGCCAGTAGTCTCGGTATCAAGATTGCTATACACTAGTTCCGTCCTATCATCTTTAATGGCTTTTGAC